ACACACACACACACACACACACACACACACACACACACACACACACAGTCTGAGCTCCCGTCTGGAGAGCCTGGGCTTGTAGCCTGAGACTGTGGCCTTGAGATCAGCCTTGGACAGGTTCATCTCCTCCTCTGATGACTGATGGCCAGGCCCCACCCACCCCACCTTCCAGCTCAGCTTCATCCTGACCAGGGCAGTTGGCCTCATCCAGCACCATCTGGGGTCAGTAGTTCCTGGCTGATTCTGAGTTTGAAATTCTTCTCCTGTGTTCTTGGTTCCAAGTTCTCATTAGGGATGTGCGTATAGGATCTTGAGGCAGAAGGACGACTCAAGAGAAGATGCCAAAATGCTAAGCACAGTCCAAAAAAACAAAACCAAGCCAGCTAGACCACTGGAGGAAGGGTTCCAGGCGGGAAGATAAGCCTAATATGGAATCTGGGATCGGAGACACAAGCCAAGGGCACCCAGCCAGCTCCACACTGCAGGCTCCACCTCACCCTGCCTGAGCCCGGGGGTGGGGAGAAGGAGGCCAGAACCACCCAGACTCTTCCAACAGAGGCCAGCCTACTGGAAGTAATACCAAGGCCAAAGTGGCTGGCCTCGAGCTCTCCAAAAACCCAGACTTTTCTAACCCCTATCAGCTATTATAAGAGAACAAAAGTCAACTTTGTTCAAAGGCAGGTGGCTAGCAAGAGAACAGGCCAGGGGAAGGCCTTTCCTCCAGGTCTGGGGAACTTCCTGCACCCATTTTCCCTCCAGCCCTTCGGAGTTACTCTCATACAGCAAAGCCCAAGGATGGGAATGAGGCTAAGGCTTAGGGAAAGCTCAGCAGGTGGCCCCCCAGAAGCCCAGCTTGACAGCTAAGGTAGATGGCGATTCATTACCAGGGAAGAAGGGACAGCTAGAAATATTGATTATCTCCAGGGAACACCAGCGAACCGATGAACAATTCCTTTACTGAGGTGCCTGACTCGGTGCCTCAAAATTAGAACAGTGCCCTGCCAGGCTGTGCCCAATTGATCTGTCAAACCAGAATGTCAGAAGGGACTAAAATAAATGAGCTGGGGCTGCCTCGGAGCAGCGGGACGATTTCAATAAATCATAGCTCAGAGAGGGGCTCGCCAGTTAGGGGATCCAGGCTACTGACTAGATGCCTACAAATGTGCCCGGTCCAACACTCTGGGCCTCTCCCCCATCGCTGTTGCCACCTTTAACGGCTTTCCTCAGCCTGAGGTCCAGGTCCAAGGCTGAGGGCTAAGTACCCAGCTGCCCAGCTGCCTGGCAAAAGCCAGGCACAGGCAAGGAGGCCTCCTCCACACACCAGGACCCTGGGGCCTGAGAGTCTACTTCAGGTTCTGGCCTGGACCTCTCCACACAATCCAGTACCCCAAATCCAGAGACCTCTGGGGAGGCTCAGACTGTCTCACAAGATTTGTGAGGCCACAGCCAGGTGGCCAGCCAGTCACCCAGGCCGCTCAATAGGTCCTCTCATATTCCTAGCCCCAAAGCACCCTGTGATTCTAGGTTGAAAAAGATAAGACCTTGTGACTGCAAGTGGGTGACGTGGAGGTTTGCTGGAGCTACTCTGGAGTCCTTTCAAGGTGTGTCTTGGGGAGAGGGTTCATTTCAAGGTGTTCCCTGAGGGTGGGGAGGTGGGATATATAGAAAGAATGCTCAGGGCCTTTTCTTCCAAGTAACCAGGGAAATTCTGGGATGAGAAGCAGGCATCATCAAAGAGACTGTGGCAGTACAGGAGCAGAAGACAGGGGCTGTCTGGAGGACACAGGATGCTGTCTGTGCTGACGCAGCTCTCTCCTGTTCCCCAGCATTCACAGAAGACGGTTCACCAGACAGCCCTGCCTAACCTCTGTGAGAGCCTGAGACCTGTAAGCAGTGGTGATCCCCACTACTGATTACTCATATGTACTTAAAGCCCTCTGCCTCAGCACGCCAGCACCCCCCCCCACACACACACACCTATGCCATGCATCCAACCAGGCAGGCAGCCAGCCAGCCAAGCTGGGGCTCAGCTTCGGCCTCCAATCAGGCCTGCAGAGGGGACTGGGTTTTCCCAGATGTGTCCCTGGGAACCAGGAACAGTCCAGAGACATCCAGTGCTCCCCATCCAACGTGCTCTTCTGTGGCAGCCTTACCTGTGTCCAGAGCCTGTGGTCCCTCCAAAGGAGCGGGTTTGGGACCGGGTGGTCGGCGGTATACCACATGCACTCGACCTTGGTCAGCCTCCTGATCCTTCTGCCCCTTCTCCAGGGGCTCGATGAAGAACTCCTCCTCCTCCATCCGGATCAGACCAGCCTGCAGAGAGAGGCAAAGTGGAGAAGTTCAGACTCCTGGTACACAGACAAGAGGGAGAGCAGCAAGGAGGGTCCTCTGAAGGGTACCATCTCCTTCTGGGACATCCTAACAGCTGGGGGACACAGGCAGGGGGTCCTTATCTACTCAGACTCTACTTGGAGATGTTTTATTTTTTGGTTTTCCCTGGTCACTCGGAAGAAAAGGCACTGAGCCCTGTCTGGGGAGAGAGTGCCTGCTCCCCTGTCTTCACCACCTCACACCTCCATACACCTTCCAGACAAGTCTTTCTAAAGCCCAAAATGTCAAGAGCAGCCTGAAGGAGTTCAAGTATAGATGCGGTATGGGCTTGGAAGGACATAATGATGCATCAAATACAGGCCACCTCCAGAAACACAGAGTCACTCCAAGACACAGGTCAAAACTTAACAGCCAAGAACTGAATCTACCCATGGATGTGTTCAGTTCAGTCCAAACAGTATTCTCTCAAGAAAGAGAGGGGTGGGTGCTCTCAAACCGACTATATAGCCGAGGCTGACTTTGAACTTCTAACCTCCTGGCTCTGCTTCTAGTGCTGAAACTAGAGGTGGCACCTGCCCTAACCTGGGGAGTCAAACCCAAGTCTTTACACATCTTGGGCAAGCTTTCTTCCAACTGAGCGGCAGCCCTAGTCCATGCCACAGCACAGATGTGGGGGTCAGGGGACAATCTCCATTGTCTCCCCATCTTGTTTAAACGGGGTCCCTTTGTTGTCTTTCAACAGCACATATCAGGCTAGCTGACCTATGAGCTTCTGGGGGTTCTCCTGTCTTCCCCTCCCACCTTCCCACAGGGAGCAAGAATTATAGAAGCTCACAGTAGCACACTCCGCTGTTCATGGATTCTGGAGATTTGAACTCAGGCTCTCATGCTTTGCCCAGGAAGTGTTTTTACTCAGTGTGCCACCTCTAAAGTGGCAAGCAATACTTTTTAGTGAATCCAACCACTAAAATGATGAGCTTTCATCTTATACAATGAAACTGCAGCATCTGGAGAGATGATGGCTCAGTGCTTAAGCATGCCCGCTGCTCTTTCAGAGTCCCAAGTTCAGTTGCCAACACTCATGTCAGACTTCTCACAACATCCAGGAACTCCAGCCCCAGGGGAGTCAATGCCTACTTCTAGCTTCCAAGGAAAGTCCATTCATGTGGACATAGCCTGCACAGACACATGCGTACCCATCACTAAGAACACATCCAAAAGTAAAACATACAGGGTTTCTCTGTCTATCCGTGGCTGTCCCGGAACTTGCTGTGTAGACCAGGCTGCTCCTCAGACTCAGAGATCCTTCTGCCTCTGTCTCCCAAGGGCTGGGATTAAAGGTGTACATGACCACCGCCCCGCTAAAGAGATGGCTAGACTCACAACCAAAAATATAAAACATAAATCTTCAAGAAAAAGAAACTGCCACTTTTCTTGGAAAACATAGCTCTGACCAAATGAAGCTACACACTGCCTGGCCAGGGCCACCTCAGGCAGACACACACCCTTGTGGTTGGCCATAATCCTATGCCCCCTCCCTTCCCTTTGTCCACCTTTGCCATAAAGCCAGACTCTATAGCAAGTATTGGCTGGAGAGAGCTTCCTGCTCTTCCCTCCTGCCTGCATTTGGGTTGCTGTGTTCTGTGTCACTTGAGGCTCTCAGCCCGCACCTGCTTTCGGCCTCACCATGGCCGCTCAGTGGTGTATGAACTCGGTTGACCCACTGACCCCAAATTTGGGAGTCCCTGCTCCCATCTTTCACCTGGGCCATCTGGTCATAAATGCCTGTTCTCTCTTTGATCGCAGGCTCAGAGCCCCCAAAAAATCCTTCCCTGACGCAACCACCTGGTGCCATGCTGCTCGCCAGCCCCACACTCCAGCTCTCACATTTTGTTTCTTTGGTCTGTCATCCAGGAGTCAAAAGCCTCACACTGTCTAGCCTGGGGATGTAATTCCTCCACATCATACAATTGTGACCCACAGGAAATTTACACAGCTCCCCATAGATGTTCAGATTTAAGAAGCGGGGGCGTCCATGCCAATGACAGAGCTTCGGGTTCTCTCGGACAATCAGAAGGGCTGGTGTTTCTGTTGCTTAGCTGGTACTCGCCAGGGTTCCCTGACGAGGAACATCCATCCAGATGTTCAGAAACTACTCATCCCCCAAAACAACCCAAAAGTCGTCTGTCACGTCATCACCCTGACCTCGAGGGACAGAGATGTACAGATCATCCACCTGGTGTAGGGTGCTAGATGCAGCCATACACCTGCTGCCTTCACCTCAGGAAAGCCCAGGGGTCAGAGGTTAGCGCTCACTGGGGAAGAATGGTAGTAGCAGTTACAGTCACAGGCAAGGGCTGGTGGGAGGGTCAGTTACACTGACACAGCATCAGGCCCAGACTCAAGAAACAAGGTTGATGTCTAGCTAAAACCGTGTCAACCCTTCCTATCAGCCAGAAAAGTTGGAGAGGAGAACCATGTGTAGGTGAGGGACACTGCTCACAGAAAGGCCTGAAGAGAAGGACCGCCATCGATGGAACAAACTCACTGTTCGGGCGGCTGGAGATCTGGGGGGTAAAGCTCTTAGCATGGAATGCAGAGTAGGTCTCTGTGTGGGAAGGAAGGGGTAGTCAACAGCCTGAAAGCTTCCGGGCAGGAAAGCCCTCCATGGAACTCACAGCTGCTGTTACATGAACAGGGTGAACAGGGTAGACCTGAAGAATGTAAGTGGATAGCAAGCTCAGAGCAAGCTATAGGTGCCTGGGAGACTGGGAGCAAGGCCTGGATGAGGCATACAGATTCCAGGAAAATGAGAAAGTCAAATTTGGAAGAATGCTTGAGAACAGATCAGATTCTAAGAGAGAGATGTCAGGTCCAGAAGTTATTTCCAAATCTGGAGTTGGTTGAAAAGTCCTCCTACCCCTTCTCCCCAGGTCTTAATCACAGGTAGTAGAATGGGACTCTGCAGATGGGACTAAACTGAGGCTCTGCAGCTTGGAAGGCTGCCCTTATGGTCAGCGTGGCCCTAAATACAGCCATGCGCCTACTGCCATATAAGAGGAGGCAGAGAAAAACAGGGCATCAACGAGGCGATGGAGACGTGATCCTGGAGACAGGTCAATCTGTTGCAGCCACAAGGAATGTCAATGGCCACACAGAACTGGAAGATGGATGTGCTCAGCCCTGCAGACTCCTGGAGTTTAAGTGAGTTATGCTAACTATAGACTTTAGCCACCAGAGCTGGGAGAGAATAAATTTTGATCTTTGCAAGGCATTTGTTACAGCGGCAGCAGCAAGAAAGAAATACTGGGGCCAAATAGGTGGCCTGGCGAAGAGGAGTCATTCTGAGAGACACAGAAAGAGGAAAAGCAGGGGAGCATCGAGGATTCACTGTGTACATGGAGGGAGGGAGGCCAAGAGGCCACGGAAGTAGAATAAAGTCAACAGAGTGTGAGGGATGAGGGTTTGGTGGGAACCGTTCAGGCCCCACACTTATGACTCATCCCTGGGTCCCAGGGCATAGCCAGCCCTGGTGGGGACCAAGCAAATGCTTGCACACTGAGTGAATAGTTGACATCAGGACATGTCCTCTGAGGGACGCAAGATGGTAAGGACAAGGGCGCGGTCCCTGTTCACTGATGCGTGCTGAGAGTGTTTACGACAGCAAGAGTTACTTCCGTGCATGGTTCCCATGTATGTGGTTTTAGAGGAGACAGGCATCTCAGATCCAACTTTATTAATAGAAGCCTTTGGATGAGCATGGGAATTAACCCCTGTGCGGTGAGCAGGGGACAGGCTAACCCTGAGAGTCTGACTTGCTGGGTTCCTGCACTCTTTTTCTGGATGTGTAACCTCAGACAAGATGCCAAGGCTCCCTGGGTCTCCAGTTCCTCAGCTGTAAGTGTGGTGGGTCTGTCATCCCTCCTCTACCGAAATTGTTAGAGAGACATGAGGCCTGGGACATCCTTAGAACCAGTGCTTGCATTGTTGGTGGGCCTCGAGTCAAGCTATTTTATCTGTACTGCTTACTTTCCAATGGGGAGACTCAGAGGATGAAGAGGCCTTCCAAGGATGCACACCATCTAGAAATCAGAGCTCAGGCTTCCTGGAAGGGGTTTGTCATAGGGGAATCCTAGGAAAGGTGAGTCCTACTGAGGCAATTAGAGAGGGACACTAGGGCATTATGTCTATACAGAGCAACCTCCCCTTCTGGAAAGATTTGTATCCCAGTGCAACCCTGGGCCCTGCGAACCACGCCTGACCTGGTGAGGAGTCACCATGTTTGGCTGATGGGTGTCAACGCAGACAGCTTAAGGTCTCCCTTCACATCACAGGTCAGACTCTCTTCTTCCACAATAGGAGTGGAAGGTCACAGGGCTGAAGTGAGGCCCTGTGTCCACTTGATGTCATGACATCATGGCCAGAGCCCAAGCTGCTTGGCTGGGAACCCTTTCAGTTATCTCTAGGAAGGGCACTAGAATCCTGGGTGACCTGGTTCTGGGCATGTCCCTGTGTTCAAGTGCTCCTTCAGCAATGGTGCAAGGGAAAAGACAGCTGATCCACTTGACATCCAGGAAACTGGAGAACCAGGGAGCTTCGGCATCTGGCCTAAGGTCGAGATAAAAAGGATGCGAATTGCAGATAAGTGTGAAGCCGGTGCACTCAGGGCTTCTTACAGGGCAGGAGCCCTGGCATGAGCAAAAAGGAGAAAGAGAGGGGTGCACTCGCGGCTCTCCGCTTCCTGACCCACAGCCTCAAGCTCCTCCTGCCATGACGGCCCTGCTGTGATGGGCTGCACCTCACACTGTCTGCCAGGACAGACCTTTCTTTCCTTGAGTTGATTTCGTCAGGTGTTTCGTCACAGCAACGAGGCAAGTAACTAATACGCCGACCATCCCTGAACCTGAAGGCCGGTTGCTTCCAAGACCAAGGGCTGATCATCCCCAAACGAAAGGGCGACCATTTTGAGATGCTTCGCTGAT